AACAGTGCTTGCTCAAACTACGTGTTTATTTTTAATAGGTCCATGGGCAAAAGATGATACTGGTAATTTCTTCAAAGCTGCATTGTTATCAGGTCCCCCAGGTGTTGGTAAGTATCAGTTTGGTTTCATAGTTTCTGCTGCATGGGGTAGGAACCCTGTCATTTCTTAAAATGAAGTTTTGGGAAGAAATTATGATGTCCACTTTCTTTTAAATGCTTCAGTCTGTGTGATGAGGATAGTAGAAACTGTATATAATTGAGCAGTTTCCACTCCTATGTGAAATTTATGAGGTAGAACTTGTTTATAACTTTCAATACATGAGGAAAATGTTTCATACAAAGTTTCAAACTTTCAATCCTATGCCCAGTGCTGATGGTTTTTTTTAGATATCACCGAACTAACTAACTAACTAACTAACGGAACCCGAGGGTTCATCACCGAATTAACCAAACCTGTGCATCAGTCCCTGTCCTGTGCCAACAAAATCCATTCTCCTTCAACTCCTATCTCCCATAGATTCCTCCTGAGATTATCTTCCCATCTACGTCTAAGTTTCCCCAGCAGTCTCTTCCCCTCAGGCTTCCTGATCAGTACCCGGTGCACACCTCATGCCCCACCCATGCATGCCATGTCACCCTGACAATATTGTGTTAGCTATCACCACCAAACTGAAACATAAGGAGACTTTTTCCAGCAGCCTTACTGTTTTGTATTTTACAGAAATATGACAATAGTGGAACATATAATTTTTGCAGTACTGAACATCATGGCCCAACATTAAGTTGTGCTGCCTTTTGGCATTACTGGTGGTGTGTAGGTGGGGATTAATAGGAGCGTAACATGAAAATGTATCTTAAGGAAATGGTATGGGAGTATGTAAACTGGATTTGTCTGGCTCAGGATAGGGTCTAGGGGCATGCTGTTGCAATCATGATAAGGAAGGGCATTGTGAGGTGAGTGACTATTAGAATCTGAAGGAGGACTCAGCTCCATGGAGTTTGTTAAAGGGGGTGTGGCATGGTGTTTATACGAAGTTTAATGAAACCTGTCAGACAGTCCACAACTTATATTGGAAAGCTTTTGTGGTGACTGAAAGCAATGACGTCTTCTTGGCTGATCATTTATGTAAGTATGGAATGAACTTTCATTTCAGAGACTGCCTTTGTCTCAGAATTGTTAGAAATTGACATTTTCAATCACCTGAAAATACTTCATTGCACATGTAGATATTATGATACCAGAAGTCTGTCATTCCGTGTGAAAACAAGAAAATCTTTATTTCCTATTTGTAAAACTGTTAACAGGGAAAACAACAACAGTGCATCTTGTCTGTAAGGAACTTGGATTTGATATTGTGGAGTTCAATGCGTCGGATACAAGATCAAAAAAATTACTGCATGAAGAAGTTTCTGAGCTGCTTAGCAACAAGTCACTGTCTGGATATTTTCAGGGTGAGTCAGTATGCAACAGGCAGTATCATGCATATGCACTTAATGCTAATATTTTGGAGGTTAGGTGCTGCATCTCTGTACTGAAGGTCCTGGGTTCATGTCTGTCCACATCCAGCATGGATTCTTTTGCATGAAATTCCTTTCTCTCGCCTTGGACAAAGGTAAAGTTTTGTGAATGTGGGTAATTCCAGCCCCACATTAGGTATGTATGTGCACATGTGCTGGGTTTGACTTGACTTTTTCATTCAGTTTATTATGTTTCACGTTCTGGTAGGCTGTACCATTTCATTGACTGTGTCACCTGTAAGTTGTCATTATAAAGCAGATTTTAGTGCCCACTCTGTCAATCCTCACATTCCCTACTAAGGGCTGTGCTCCATGGGTTAAGAACCACAAATTTAGACAAATTTACAAGTGTTTATGCATACAGAATTTTGATAAAGAAACCTCTTTGAAATAGCCAATTGGAAGACCAAGAAAGGGATGATGGGAAGAGAACATTTAAAGTGGGTGTTAGGGAAGCAGGTTGTAAGAATAGAATGTTGGTGAACCTGGCACAGGATTGTATGGTATTAGTAGCGTTGAGCATATGAGACCTGCTACCAGAGGTTACTTGGTTATGGTCTTTGCCCAAGAGATTTTTTTTGTGTTATGTGATGGGTTGGCAGACTTACCAGAGTTGACAAACATACAATACATGGATGTGGCTGGTGTACTAGATAAGAATTTTTAGTTTTGAGGGCTTTTTCTGTACTATGACATTAATTGTATTCATTTCAATATCCAAGGTGCTGCAGCAAGAAAACCAACAGAAAATCATGTTCTGGTAATGGATGAAGTTGATGGTATGGCGGGCAATGAGGATCGAGGTGGCATGCAGGAACTGATCCAGCTGATCAAGAGCTGTCGAGTACCAGTGATCTGCATGTGCAATGATCGCCATCACCAGAAAATCAGAAGTCTCACAAATTACTGTTTTGACCTCCAGTTTAGTAGACCCAGGGTTGAACAGATACGGGTAAGTTGCAGCTTTTCAATTGGGCAGGTCCTTTAAAAGGTGTAAGAAATTGTCTTTATTTATAATCATCACTGTCCATTGATATTTCCACCAGAGTTGTTCTACCTTTTTAATCATGTGTTTGTGTGTTTTCTTTCTCAGGGTGCAATGATGTCCATTTGTTATAAGGAAGGAATAAAAATCCACCCTGAGGCTTTAAACGATATAATCACTGGTGCAAATCATGATATTCGCCAAGTGTTGCATCACTTGTCAATGTGGTCTGTGAAAGATAAACATCTCTCTACCGAAAGAGCCAAAGAGGAGTCTCACAAGGCCAAGAAGGATATTAAGTTGGTTGGTTTATTTTTAAGTTTAAAATTACCAAGCATGTTTATATATGCATTTGATCAGTTAATATATGGTCCCAAATTTTTGGAAAACATTCACCTCTTGTTGAGGTGGCTTTTCTGTAGAATGTAACCAATAATATGGCAGCTGTGTGAATTTTGTAATTATCTTTGTTTCATGGTGGTAAATAATGAATTATTTAAGCTAGGCATGTGATTTTTTTTTTGGAGATAGATTATGCACATCCCTACAGTTGGTGCATGGAATCTTTTTATATTAACATTTACAGCATGATGAGTGCTTAGAACTTCAAATTTGCATCTAATAAATTTAACATGGTGGGTATGTGCAGTATTCAACAAATTACCATAAGAAATGAGTCTTTAAATAATTATTTGCTTCTAACATACAGCCATATTGTGATAACCTCCTACTGAAATCATCAGTTCTGAGTTTCCTTTTTATATATAAGAAACATGTAGGACCATTTAAAATTCAGGATAGATTTGAGTGAGGGGTTACTGGTGAAGTATTCCATATAATGTAAGAATGCCAGGTAACCATGGCAATAATAATGCTTTAAAGAGACTTGTAGAATGGCAGTTCCCTAGAAGAATACTTCCTCCAGAAAATAAATCAGCTAACAAGATGGTTTGTTTTTTGCATCAAGCATGACTAAATGAGGAGCTGTGTAACTGTTGACAGGATTGTGATGTTGTCATGCCTACCACATAAAGAGAACTTCCTTGAGATGTAACATAAATTGCTTATTTATAATTTGTAGTTTGTAGGTAATTCTCATTCTAAAGCTTGTTCCTTTTGAACAAGTCATTTTAGTTCAACATGTATGTGATTTTAAGTATCCTTAAATACTGCTTCTGCATGGGGAAGTTCAGGTATTGCTCCATGCATTCTAACATTTGACACTAGATGCGGGCAAGTGGTGAGCTTCATGCTCTGGCCACTTTTCCCCCATAACCTGACCACTCATACAAAACAGCAGGTTTAATTATTTGATGATTATAATATATAATATTACTTGCTGTAACTTGGATTATCCTGAATTTTCCAGGGTCCTTGGGATGTCTTGAAGAAAGTGTTTTCTGCAGATGCGCACAAGACAATGTCAATTCATGACAAGTCAGACCTCTTCTTCCATGACTACAGTCTGGGTCCTCTGTTTGTGCAAGAGAACTATTTATCAGTGATGCCCCACAAAGTTAGGTGAGGTCTTGTTTATTGGATTGCAAGATTTATTATACCAATTACAAAATGTTTTTGAGACTAATACAAAACATAATTGCAGGGGCAACAGAAAGAGACATTTGGAGCTTGTTGCGCAGACAGCAGAGAGTCTCAGCACAGGGGATATAGTAGAGAAGTCTATAAGAAGTAGAAATGCATGGAGTTTGTTGCCTACACAGGTTAGTATTTGAGACTGGGTGCTTTAGATGTTAAACAGATTGAATTCCTGCATTTCCCATCACCCCATTTTCAGATATATGTCAGATTTGTTTGAAACACTTCATTTTACAGCTACTGACATGAGCTATGATATGCTAACCATTCTTTTTTCATTCTCCATTTCACCTTCTAATTTTTAGAGATTGCATTTAGATGAAGATATGTTAATACTGCAGTAGGCCTATGTGTGATTGTATCTTTGTAGTTTGGAACTCATTTGTGTGATTCAGAGTGTAGAACTAATTGTCTGCTGGTGGTGCAGTGTTCCACAAAAGATGTGCTTATTTGTTTAGGCTATGCTTTCAAGTGTCTTGCCTGGTCATATCATGGAAGGCCACCTTACTTCCCAGATCAGCTTTCCAGCATGGCTGGGAAAGAACTCACGCAGAAGTAAGTTTGAACGACTTCTACAAGAACTTCACATGCACATGAGGCTGAGGTATGCATTTTCTTTTAGATATTCTGTTCAATGGTTTGCACTTTGTATGCAGTCCATGTATGTGTCACATGTTTGGGAGGTACTCTGCATGTGCGCATGTCTGTCTGTCTGTTTCACCTCCAGAATTACTACCCCTACATTATGTGAAGATCAGTTTAAACTTAGCAGTTTTATAAAAATGGTTCATTGTGCATATGGCATAAAATATTAATAAAAATTACATCTTTTAGGGATCTATATTTGATGTAGCTAGTATTTAATTAAATAAAAGGAAGAATTTTTTAAGTGAAGGGTGAAAATTATGAAATATTCATTAACTTTCCTCCATCCTTTGGTAAATGGACATGCTTTTTCATAGTAACCTTATGTTTGTTTCAGTATCTCTGGCAGCAAGGAAGCTGTTAATTTGGACTATCTAACACATCTGCGAGACTCAGTAGTGAGTCCCTTAATCAATAATGGTTTGGATGGAGTTGCTGCCACAATTCACATCATGCAGAACTACTATCTGCTGAGAGAGGACATCGACAGTCTCATGGAAATCAGTCTGTGGCCCAATCAGAAGGACCCGCTGTCTTGTGTCAACAGCAAGGTGATGATTCACAGTCTTAAGTGGAATATTTGTTATATTCATGAGGAAAGACAAGCTTCAGGTGTCATGTTGTGTGTCTGTTCACTCTAATGTATACGCTAGCACCTTACTGATTGTCATGAACCCTCTTTTGATTGTCTTACCACAGGAGGCACTTTACCTTTGTACTCTTAGCTTCATGCCATCAACATAGTCACTGTCAGAATTTAGTTTCTCATCCTTCTAAATGCTGAGACTTAAGGGCAAGGGATCTGCCTGAAGGACTTTGCCCCCACACTGTTTTGTGTCATTCTGTGTAGCCAGTTTCATATGACTGATATAACTGAGTTGTACTGTGTGTTTAGCTGTTTGTTCCAGATGTGCTGTGCCCTTATAAATAACTTCTAAGTTTCATGATTATGACATTGTGCCACATAACAACATAACACCTAGAAAGGAAAATAACAGCCACATACTGACCCACTCACTAACCAAATATTGACATTTCAGTTGTGTGATTAGTGGGGATGAAGTGAGCTTGATAAATGAACTCACAGAGTAAATAAGTGCAGCTGTCAGCTCAATTTTGTTGTACAGTGAAACCTCGATGCATCGTTTTCGGCGGGGGTGGGAAATAAAAACGATGAATGCGGGAAAACGATAGATGCGGGAAAGCATTAAAAATTTTAAAAAAAAAAACAATGTTACTCTTTCAAAGTTACTTCTTTTTACCAAAAAAGTCTTAAATGGATAACTGGTTTGTCGAAACTTTACGTTTTAGGCCAAACAGAGCCCTTTCCACGTTCAAAATGCTTTCTTCGTCACGTTCACTAATATTATGCGCATAAAAGAACGACTTCACTTTTGTCAATGCAGCGTGTGCTTCGGCAAAACTCGGCAAAGTTCGGGCTCGCATTCGTTGTTTCTCCCTCTTCCTCACCGCTCCCTCAACCTTCGCGGACTATAACAGGAAAAATGGAAGTACTATTACTGCCGAACTCAACGAAACGTAGCTGTAGAAGACACGATATGAACCAGAAGAATGAAAAAGTTTCGCTCGCCTTTCCTTTGTACTTATAATAAAAGCATTTGTGAAGAAATTCACACTGCACATACGATAGAAGCGGGAAAATGTAACATTATTTTATATGGGTTGTATTCGGGACCGAACAAAACGGACGATGCATCCGGGAAAACGATAGTTCCGGGAACGATGGATAGAGGTTTCACTGTATTGTTATGCAATCTTCATATCAGGGATTCATAATATTGGCAAATGGTTTGTTATTATATGGGACATTTACTGTGTTTCAAAAGTGTGAAGAAAGTTTTAAGTGGTCATTGTAATTGAGTTGAATTAATTGTGGACCCATTGTAATGTATGTAAATAAATGGGGTAGGCATCAAAGCTACCCTTGCACTGTGACCATTAACTGATCTTATATGAACCCATTAATAAGTCAGATTTACAACAGTGTCGTATTGTTCTGTGGTTTTGTAGGTTAAAGCAGCTTTTACCCGGACAGTCAATAAGGAAGGCATCATGACACCATACTCTGTTATAAACATCAAGAAAAGTGCATCGAAGTTTAACCAAGATTCAGACATTGTTGGTGATGGCCAGGATGATGAAAATGGAGATGAGGTGGAGGAAGATGAGGAAGACATTACAAAAGATGCAATGATTAAGAAGGTGAGATATTTACATTCCTTAAGTTGTTCCACAACTAACTCCAGCAGTCCTGCTTTTCCCATAACAACAACCAGAATGTATTTTTATTTCCTATCTTCAGTGGTAGCAACATTGCATCCATGTGAACTTCTGAGATGGAACTGACACTACACAATGTAATATCCTGCAATGTCACGTGGTAATAGAGGTTCGAAAAGTTTTATTAAAGTATGTTTTTATGCAGTGTAAAACAAGAACATAGTATTGTGATGAAATTAATTTAGCTTTTAATTTTGTGGCAGTAATTAATGGTCCATTAGAGCTAGAAATGTGAAATGTTGTATTGAGGTAGATCATAAACGTGTACAAATTTTGTTTGAAACATTTTGTAAAAATATGGCTGTCTTCTGGGCTGTTGCGCCGTGTAGTCTAGTAGAAGTATACCAATGTTTCAGAGGTCCTTGCTGCCTCCATCGCCCTGATGATGGAAACAGCAAGGACCTCTGAAACATCAGTAAACTTCTACTAGACTACACGGTGCAACAGCCCAGAAGGCAGCCATCTTTAGACTCGCCGCCATGAAAACCTCAAATCCTACAACATTTTGTATGTTAAAATTTAAACATTTCAGTGTTGCAGAATTTTAAAGTTATATCTGATGAACTTCAACTCTGTGGGACTGCCTTGTAGTCAGAATCATGTGTAGAATTGATTCACAGAATGTAAGTGTTTATAGTTCCTGTTACCTTTACAAATGTAAATGCCGACATATTTCAGATATTTGTTTGTAATGTATGCATGTGTTGTTTATAAGCCAACAAGGCAGTACTGTAGTTTTAAATATGTGCGTAGCACTGCACTCCAGTAGAGGCCCAACTACACATACTGTTGGAAAAATGGGTATGGTATAATTATATTTTTCTTTCAGGCCAAGAAGCGACCTGCTGCAGTGAATGATCATGCACCAGGAGGGAGTGGCTCAAAGAGACAGAAGGTTGTTGGTAAAGGAATTAAAAAGAAATGTGATATGGGCAAAGGAAAATAGCTTTGCTATTTGGCAAACTAATGCAAGTTTCCCAGTAAGAATTACTGTCATTGGGAATTACTTGTATTTGAAATTTATTAGGATACATGTACAGTACATCTTTTGCCATGTTAAACTTTCAGAGTCTGACCTTCTTGTCAAAGTGAGCATTTTTCTCATTGAAGTGTATTAGTTTTCTGAATCAGGATGGAAATATTACTATATTTACCCAAATATACCTCCAGAAGAATTAGCTGTGCATTATATTTGCACACATTCCATTCTTCTAGAAGGTGCTATTGAAAAATATTGTTACATGCTATTTTTAAATGCTTTTTGTCATATGACACAAAAAATCTTATAGGTTTTGTTAAATGTGTAATGCCGATGATTCTATAGTATACTTAGGAAGCTATTCAATAAATGTAAAGTTTCAAAATGGGGGACACATTACTTTCACATAAATGCTATTTTACCATGGTGGGTCATTCTTCTTTGTTTTTTGTATTTTCCCTTTATTTAGTCCTTGTTCTTCCCAGTGGTCATTTATTCAGCATATTTTTAAAGTGTGAACTCATGGCATACCACCAACATCTTTGTGTTCCTACCTGCAGGTCATGGCTAACATCTTGATTTTAGATTTAATCCCTTCATGCTCATCTGAATATCATTGCTACTGCTTTTTTCATGTTTCATGTCAAAACAAGTGAGTAGTAACATATGGTAACATTTTACAGCTTGTCTTGAATTATAAATGCAACAGCAGTGTGAATATCGTGTCAGTTGGAAATAAGATAGCAGATTATTATTTGTCGTTACTATTCATAATGTTAGGTAATTCAGACAACAGCTGTTTATTATTTTGATTGTAAGTAATTTTATGTTGAATATTGGCATAACTCAGTCAGTATAGTGACTGGTTACAGACTGGACGATCTGGGTTTAATCCCTGACGGGGGACAGAGGATTTTTCCTCTAGCCTCTAAGTCCAGACCCATTCTGGGGCCCACCCAGCCTCCTATCTAATGGGTACCAGGGTCCTTTCCCAGTGGTAAAGCACGGCCATGGCTTGATGCTGACCACCCCCCCATCTAGTGCCGAGGTCAAGAATAAGTAGGAGCTATACAACCTCTCCCCCCAAGGCCTACATGGCACATAGTGGGACAGCTTTACTTCACTTTTTTTTATTTTTACTAGCTTCTTTGGTATTCCGAATTCAATGAGAATATTGTATAACTTCTCTCTTAACAGAGTTGTAGGCTTTTTTAAATCTATGAACAGCTGATGTGCAGTCCCACTTTTTCTAAGCTATGTCTCCTCTCCCCCCAGGTGCCTACTTAGCATGTAGTGGGACAGCTTTACTTTTTTAACTGTTGGGTTCACATCATCTGATTTTGTTTTAGACTGTCGAAGAAGGGACTTGCCACTAAATACATGTAACATATTAACACATTTAGAGTGCCCAGTGTCTACTGTTGTCTGTTGTCTGCAGTCAAGTACTTTTGTTATTGCATAGAAGTGATGTGAAAAGCTATCAGAATTTGTAAATGCAGTAGCATGAAGCTTTAACCCTGTGAAATAGTGGTGATTGGGAGTACTATTTACTTTAATGCCTACCATATTAGCATTTCACCCAGTGTGTCATCACTTGTATTTGCTTCTCGGTATAAACTGCAATTGTTATATAAATTAGATATTAGAGACTACATGATTTCTTGGAAATAGAAACCAAATTTTGTAATATTGTCTACATGAATCTCACCGTTTAAATTGTTGCACTGGATTATTTTGATATAAATATTAATGAAAATTATGGCAGGATGCCTGTATGGACTGAAAGTAATATCTAGAGCTCCTCATGGCATGAGGTTTTATCAAGGTTATGATTATTCAACTGATTAAGAGATTTCCTGTTTTTATGGGCCATGCTGTTAAACTCTCCTGATTAACCTGCGTCCTGAGGACATCTTCAAACTGATTTGCCTAATGTCCATTTTAACATTATCCTACATCCATTCATTTTTGATTTATGTTTACGTAAAACATTTGACTAAAAAAATTTGTATTTTTTGTAAACATTCTTCTTATTGAGTCTAGTAAGTTCTGTATGAAACAGTTTATGTGATGGTGAACATGTGGCAAGAGGAACTGGTTAATTAAGGTACTTTAGTCAGTTCACAAATTATTTTTTGTTTTCATTGCTTATTTATTGAGTGTAGCTGGTTTTTACAGTGCACCAATATTTTTCTGCTGGTTATTCTTTTTAGGAGATCTGAGGTGCAGCTGTCCTGACAGGTTTTTCATGATTTTCCTCAGTGTCTTCAGGCAGGTGTTATTATAATACCCTAAAATAGGTCATAATTTCTTCAAAATCCTTTTCAGTTCACTAATCACCTTACCATTTGATGCTGTATGACCCAAACAGTTGGAATGATAAATTTATGAATGTTAGTATTTGAGGTTTTCACGGCTGGGTTATAGTGCTGTATAGTCTCCTAGAAGTTTGCCAGTGTTTCAGGGGTCTTTGCTGCCTCCATCACTAGGGTAATAATTAAAACTTCTACCAGACTATATGGTGCTACAACCCAGAAGACAGCCACCTTAATTTATGAATGAGTTATCCCCTACATACGTGAGTCATGATATTTAACTAAATTACTTGTGAAGATGGCTGTCTTCTTAGTTTTTGCGCCATGTAGTCTGGTAGAAGTTTGCTGACATTTCAGAGGTTCTTGCTGCCAGACTACACAGCGCAACAACTGATAGCCATCTACAGACTCTCCACCATGAAAACCTCAAATCCTACATAAATTACTTGTTCCTTGAAGTGAGGTCAATATGTTTGGTTGATTGCTTACCCATTAAATTGGCTGCCCTTATGCTTGGTCATTGAAAATGAACAGTAAAATGTTGCAGTTGCATCCTAAATGTATATTCTGTTTCTTAAAAGTACATGTATGAAGAATGTCAAGTTATAGCATTGTTTGTGAATTTTGTACTTTTTTAAACTGATTTCTTTTTGTTTCTTTAAAACATAGAGTCATTAACAACGGAACACGATTGCTGCCTGTCTTGAACTTGAGAATTCAAAATTAAGCTTAAAGGACAACTCTTGTAGGATTTGACTTTATTTCTTTGCACCTACAATGTACTTCATATTTGCTTTTTTTATATTTATTAATACAAATATTTTAGCCTCAAAGTTGGCCTGATATCAGAACTTTCATAGTTAAAATTATAATTTTAACTATTGCTCCTTAATCTCATCACATGATCAATTATTGTTAAAATATTCTACATATTTGTTACATAAAAATTAGTTATTAAGTGTGTTTCTCCATGGTGCACTGTCTTTTTTGAAAAATATGTAGCTGATTAGCAGGTAAAGAAATTTCCTGCTTTTATGGAACTAGAAGTTTATTAGCATGTTCATAAAAGCCCATTATTGGATCCTGTCCTGAATCCAGTCCACAACCTCAAAGATTATTTATCTTAAATCTGTTTTAATATTATAATTGAATCTGAGTATAGGTTTCCTGAGTGCCTGTTCCTTTCATGTTTCCCAACTAAAGTTTTTATGTCTTTTTCATCTTCCAGATGTGTGCTGCATACTCACCCATCTTATTCTTTAATTTAAGGTGATCAACTTTACAATTGAAAATTATTGTGTCTTGTCATATTGCTGTACATCACCATTAACTCCTATGTCATGAGTCCCATTGATTTTCATGCATCACGACTCTTCGGTAGAACAAGTTAAGGTAAGAAGACAACTGTCTTCTGGTTTGTAGTGCTTTGTGGTGTGGTAGACATTTGTCAACATTTCAGAAGTCTTTGCTGCCTCCATCATTAGGGTAATATATGCCTGCTAAGTGAAGGTAATTGCCCATTGTGCCATGAAGATGTATCAGGTACTGGTTGTACAGCTGCACATATTACAACGTTTATTACGGTTCCTGTCAGGCTTGCAAGTCGCCAAACACCAATATTTTGGGCACTAGTTGATTGATATTTCTGAAACTTGGTTTGAATAGCATGCTGCTGGAGGCTGTCTTGATGCATTAATAGTATCATCATAACTGCCTTGCAACTTCAAAGGTGTGATTAAGTCCTTGGGGCCAGCTCCTCGGATAACTGTCTGTTTTCTGAAATTGTACTTTTGAAGTAATTCCTGTTTCAATACTCACAATCCTCTCTCCTGATGCTGTGTAATATATGCAGTTGAGTTAGAATTGTTAAATGAATCCAGGAAAAAAAATGCTGTACTATCTGTCAGACATTCACTTTCTTATTTTTACTACATTCACAGCAAAAGAGTAAGGAAAATATTTTTAAACAGGGACTGCAACTGGCATCTGTCCAAGTATCATACACTTCTGTACTTTCTGTAGAGCAAAGAAAATGTGCATGTTTTCTGCTGGCTATCTGCCACATGATATAACACTTAAAATGTCATAAAGACCTGGAAGCAGAATGTGAGGTAGTAACCAGGGTCTATGCTGCAACAGCAGAAAATGTGTCTTAAGATAAACCTGCTGAGTGTTGCAGATTAATGGAAGTACCTTTGGTGTTGTGTGTCCACATGTAGGAAAGAGAATAGCAAAAATTAATTTGATTATTAGGGAAGGTATTGGTTGATTCTGGATTGTTTAACAATGTTGTTTCAACTGCAAAGGTTTTATAGTTTGTGCATGGTGGAAAGGTCGTATGTCTTCCTCATATCTTCAAAAAATAATTTGCTATTGAAGAGTCACCTTTTGTGCAGTGTAAAACAACATAATGACTATGTGAAATCTGTATCTAGGTTTCAGTTTGATGACTATAACTAGTGATTTGGAGATATAACATAAACTTACATATAAATTTTTTATGAAACAGTATTTATATATTTTATGCTTAAAACTATGAAATATATTGTTATTGTATGTTCTTTGCACGAAGTGCACAGAATGATACATGTAAGAATAATTGTGTCTATTTATCCACATGTTTTAATTTGGGGACAGGTGGATGGATTTTAATGAAATTCAGTATGGATACTATACCTTTGGAAGCTACCCCAGGGTCATACAATTTAATTTCCTACAATCAGAGATATCAGCATGGTGGACGCATGGACTTTAAGGTGGGAATAACACTAGCATTGCGTAATAACAGTTCTAATATGATACATGGTGACATCTTTGAAAATATCCAATTTTTGTTCAGGTAGTTTTTTTCTTGAAATGTAAACCAAGGTGACTGCAAGAAATCTATATTTAGCATTTGTTTCAATGACTACAATTAATGAATCATCAGAGCTACTAACTAGTAGTAGTACTGGTGATGGCTGTGGTGGTGGTAGTAGTAGTAGTAGTATGTAACATATTTAAAAATTCAAGCATTAAAATAATGACCTTGGCAGGGTTTTGATCATGTGATCTTTTGCACATGAGTCTAACATACTAACCCATGGGGTCAGTTGCATTTATGTCATGAGAAGTTCTCATGGCAATGAAGATGTCAGTTATGTTGCTACATTGTGCAGCTCCTGCAAAGCGTTGGTTGCCACTCATGAGTCTACATGACATAATGGTGCATAAGGCCACAAATTGCGTTTAGTTTTTCACTTTACCTAAATATGATATTAAAGCTTCAATATGAAGCTTTTGTCTAATCAAAATAAAATTTTGTTGTACTATTATTTTCTCTGTCTTCCTAAAAGCTTCTGAGTGCTAATGTGCAAAGGATGCCATCGAGAACTGTATATCTTGGTATGCATTGCGCTGCTCTAGTCTTGTTAATTTGTAGTTCCTTCTGACTTGACTATGTAGATTTAAGCATTTGAAGGGAAGTTGGTGTAGATGACAGCTGCAAAAATGTACACCACTAATAGTAGAATGAGAGAAACATATCACAAAGAAGGGGAATTGATCAGTTGTGAGGCTTAGACGTATTAGGAAGGAATGATATTGAGCTATGTGTTCAAAAAATCGCTCGTTAAGTGGCGAGATTTTATGATCATGGTGATGATCTTTGGGGTTTATTTCGTAATTTTTTAAGCAGTGTAACTAGCAACTGCTGCAGGATAGAGTTCTGTCTATCATCTTGGTTGATCGATCAACTTGTTTTTTTCACACCCAAAGTTTTTATTAACATTTATTCCCTCTCGCGGCAATTTCAAGGTTGTGACTGACTTCGTAGACATTTTCAATTGAACGTGAGCCAGCTACCCCGCTCAGTGGAGGAACGGGGCTTGCCAAAGTTGGACCGTTTCACCAGCTCTGGTGTGCTACGCGTTTTATTGGTAAGTTTATGTCGTTAATAACGTAACAGTATCAGGTAGTGTATTAATATTAATATTATTAAACTGGTGTCTGCTTGCCGGATGTCGTCCTGTGTTTCATTGTCACCCTTCTGAGCGTGTAGTACGATATGTGAATTAGGAATTTAAAGATTCGTTTGTTTGTTAGATACTTTGGATGACTTGGGCTCAGGTTAGTATGAAGTCTTATTTGTCGTTTTTCCTTATATTAAAACGAGTGGAAAGTGAAGCCAGTTGTACAAGTGCCCTTTTCCATTAACTGTGGTAACTGCGGAAAGATGTCATATGACAGCTATATTTTTAATTCTTAGGGTGGCCATACACACTACGACTTACCAGAAGGCCTGACTTCCAAGATTAAAGTCGAAAGGTAAGCCCACACACTTACAGACTTTGTGGCAGGTTTGTGCTCAGTCTTTTTATTCTTGAGTCGATGCTACAACATGTTCAGTGAAGACGATGCGATTGTAATCGGTCTTTCTGTTACTTTAATGTTGAAAAATAAAAGAAAGTTGAAACGTTCTAAGTGGGTCAGAAGTTGGTTAGACGGATCAAAACATTCTCACATAAATTTGTTGAATGAAATTCGGTTAGAGCCGACTGACTGGCGTAAATACCTGCGAGTGGATGAGGACACATATCTGCAGCTGTTAAACTTAATTTCTCCAGTTATCGGGAAGGAAGATAACGTAATGAGAACAGCAATTTCTCCGCATGAACGGTTGAGGGCTACCCCGAGGTTTCTGGCCACTGGAAGAAACCCACGAGGATCTAAAGTTGCTTTTTACGTTGTACAAATAAGGCAGAGACCTGTACAACTCAATGAATTTGGAGATACATTCATGAGGCCAGGATCTCATGTCAGCCATCACTCCAATAATGGTAATATAAAACTGACGAAACAAACAGGGCTGTGTAGTGCTGTGTTGACTGATTGAGTACAAGCATTGTCTCTACCCTCCTCTCTCCCCACACTCGTTACGACTTGTATATATCCTGTAAACGTCGAGGTAAAAATCAAGCGACTGCAGATTTATCGGAGGCTCGGTTTCCGGCCAAATTCAATACACACTCTCCGGTTTGCCGGAAGGTTTGCCTTCAGGGACGTAAGCCTTCCGGTAAGTCGTAGCGTGCATGGCCACCCTTAAGTTTAAGACCAGGTTCTTGAAATCATTTATTTGTAATCGAAAGAAGCGTTCTGTACGATTTTACATACCAAGGTGTCCATTTATCGCTCTGTACAAATGTTGGAGCCGGAGTGAATGTTACCACATGAAAATGAACGCCAACATTAATTACGGATCGAATATTACAAAGAAATTCACACTGCGAGCCAAAACTTGTTATGCTTTCTTGCGTTTCGGAATATTATACGAACAATAGTCACGTTAAACATCTGTACATTTTTGTGGGATTGCGAAGTTCGAACTAAACTGTATATATAGTAGATTATTAGACATACGAACCTGAACAAAATTCGCTCTACAGTTTTTGAGATCAAACGCGGACAGACATAATATTTACACCTTGCAATGATTTTATGACTTACACAGAATAACGCAAATTAAGTGTTCGTGTTCTTTTATCTTTCATGCAGCAGGTAACAAACATCTCTCTGCCTAAAAGGGATGACGTTAGCGGGCAGTTTAGGAGAAACTTTGTGGTTTGTTCGTGTCACCGGGTGTTGTAAATGCAATGGAATATAAAGATATTTAGATGGGCTGGGCACATGGCTACTGTGACAGACAATTTCATTGGAGAAACGTCTTGGAAAACTTCCATCTGGAAGATCGAGAATGAGGTAGGAGGTGGATGTAACTGGCTCAGGATCATGTCCAATGGCGGGCTTTGGTATATTAGCGGTGTCGAACTTTCGGGTTTTTCTGGCAGACAGACAGTATAGTGATATATGTCTAACACAGTCTAGGTTTTGCTTTGTTCTCAGATCAGAGAGAATAGTTTTCATTGAGCAACTTTTGTTATTGACACGAATTGAATGTGTAAGTGTTTTTAGGTGAGCGTCGTTCATTAAATTGTTAAATTGCTGCAGTCATTAAATCAGATACTCTGGCAGTGCGAAGATTTGAGGCGTGTCGAG